TATACACCTCGCCCCTCCCCCCTCGCCTTTCCTGCCTCTTCCACGCCCCTTCCCCAACTGGTGGCTGTGGATTTGTGTCATTCAGCTCGTACATCATGATATGTGGTCGTGGACTTCATTTTTCGCTGCCGCTTGCTGCAGTGAGAAAACATTCACAGAAAAGGCACTTCTTCTATGACCGGGCTGTGTGTCTGAGAGTTCATCTTCCAGATTCGGACGTTCCTTTGTAGAATCTCCTCGTAGCTCAGTTCTCCTCCGTCCAAGGACTCCACGCTCAACGTCACGTCCCGGAAGCGGAAAGAAAGAGGCCGTGCTTCCGGTGAGATGGGGGCGTGGTTGAAGATGCTCAGCGTTGAGGAGAATGTTGGTTCCTCAAGCTCGCACTGGGAGCCGAAGTCGCTCTCGTCTATAGAGCTCATGGAATCTATGGACATTGAAGGATAACAAGCAATGTCAAATAATTATATAAATCAAATAGTAATGGATAGGGATATTAATATGCTCTTAGACAAAAATAACTTGTTCCTTACAAGGAAATATCTGAAGTAAAACCCGGGAGTGTCGAGGGGATATAAACAACTTGGTAGTTTACTGACAGACGCCTGTGTCTCCCCGCGACAGCCCAGGGTACAAGCGGAAGAAAAAAGTAAAAAGTAAGTAAAGTAAAGTAGTTTACTGAAACGAAATCATTTTTCTGCTTCTGAAGATAAGCAGTGTGGTTAATATTCTTAAGCCGTAACTTATCAGGTTTGGTAGAAATATAAAACTTATGGTCCCGCAAAACTGACCTTCAGTTTTAGTTTTAGTAATAAGAGTTTTACAGCATTTTAAACACGATAAGGTCATTTATTATAAGGGTCGAAGATTATAGGTGTTACAAGAGAGTAAAAAACACCAAAAGGAGGAAGAGATATTAGGACGATAGAAGTTTAAAAGGAAAGAAGGAGCACACTCCACCAGAGCACCCACCAGCAACACGCTTAGCTGATCTCCATCCACGTCAGAAATAACATACCCTAGAAAATGGACGGCTTCTTTTTTAAGGGGAGTTAAATTATCAAAAGGTCCAGACCTTCATTGTTAGTGACGAGTTGTATACTACTCGGGCGAGTTTCTACCAAATCGAACAAAGATTGGATCGTATTAAATTTGCTTCCTTGTCGAAAAGGTCATACGAGACACGTTGGTAGCCATCCCGACATAATGTGAGAATTTTTAACTAACTACCTGTCCATCAAATACACATCAGTTTATATTTCGCTTACTGTTTGTTGTTTGTTTGAGTAAAAAGAAGCACACTGTCAAGATAACGGTCATTTAGTGTTGGGAAATAATACGACTGAAAAACAGAAACTACTGACGGAAAATAAAGGACCTACTAATGGCTCCCTCTAACCACCCGAACATCATATCTTAGCCATAACATGTTTAGAAATACGATCAAAGGCTAGAAAAGTACTTTTATTAAAGAGAGCCTTCTGTCTAAAGACTCTACGGCCGCACTGTTGTTTAAATATTGCCGCTTTTTGTTGGAGGAGGAATAGATTTCCAAAAACACACTCGCACACGCACACACACACACACACA